TTTAAGAAAACTCATTAAAATTCGGATATGTAGACAAAAACAATTTGAGGTATTTGAAATTAAAGCTTCACTCTTGATTAGTGTCATATTATCTTTCTCAGAATCCATCATGATTTTAATCATTTAGTTGACTTCTAATTTGATGGTCAAACTACTAAGTTTGATCCTTGAAACTACTATTTGTAACACTTTGGGGTCGGCATCTCTGATGATGAATTATTGACAGAAGCTGAGATACCAGATGGCTAAGATGGAGATGTAGTCATGGACAGTTTGGTAAATCAAGATGAGGCCAAACTACTTATTTGAAATGGTTTACAGAGATCAACTCGTTCTAACTTAATGAAAATCAGAAGGTCAGTCATACATACTGCAAAATGTCTTATTCAAAACTGTGCATACAACATCTTAAAAAGCCAAGAAAATCAGGGTGCCATTGTACAAAACAACCTTAGCGCTAAGAGCATCGTACGGCTATGTTACGGTTAGGGAATTTCGATCATCTTGAGGCTAAGATTGCTTTGTACAGCGAACCCCAGTTTTGTACATTCTTGACTCGTGGGAATACAGTGAACCCTAGATTCAACATCCCTCCATGTACCTTCTCTTGGATTCAGTTCAGGATACCCTAGGTTCCCCTGCATTCTTTAGAATTTCTCTACGAACTTCAAACATCGAATAACATGGATAAATAAACTGAGATTTTTATCATTGCACCAGCTCACCTTTGACAATGACTTCGACAATATGTAAACCAACAAATGCAAAAAAATATAGCCTAGCCTGTTGCCATATTCTTGATATTTATGTGGTAGTTTTATGGCCTAGTGGACAGAGCTCTCATTTGTTATGCCAAACACCTTGTTTGACTCCTAGGGGTTCAGCGTGTGAAGGTCATTCTCCATGCATGCTGCCATATATCTTCAATATTGGTGAAATATGAAAGATAGTCGTACGTTAATGTTAATGTATGACACTTGCGACTATCTTAGAGCTAAGAGAGCTTCGAAAATCTAGGCCCAGGATTGTAATTAATAATCCATGAAGTTGGTTCCACATATCCCAGGTGTTAAATTCAAAACCTATATCACTTCCGACTTCCAACTGTGTGTGCTTATTTACTTGTTTCATTACTCAGCAAATAGTTCCCAGCTAATGACTTGGCTCACTGACTGACCAGCAGGCAGAGGGATTAGTTAAGATGTTTTGATTGATGAGCGTGTGCTAGGACTGCTTCCTGTATTCCCTTCTCTCTCTGCGTGATATCGGTCAGCCCAAGCTCACCCATTACATCACACGCACTTGTTGTTTTGACACTCTGAAGAGAAATTTGCATGTTGAATCGACTGTTCGAACATGATCCTATCGCTAAGTGTAAACTAGCCCTGATAATAGATCCATAGTAACTGGCACCTGTCATTCGCTCTCATTTATAACGGTTGCCTGAAGACAAACGGCATATTAGAATGAACAAAAGTGCAACTGTTTTCCTTAATTGTTTGGGGGGAAAAAACCTAATGGGAAAACAAACAAAGGAAAGCTATCAAGTTTTGAAATATTCTTTTGAAATAACTAAGGTAAACAGGGGGGGGGTTATCTAAGGGAAATCTTTCCTGCTTTATTGCCATTTTAATTTTTACATGGACTTTCAACCTTTTTTCCACTCATGGTATAAATCTTCAACACGTCACTGTTTCATTTGTGCAACATACTAAATGTTATGACACTACAAACAGCACACTTTTAGTAGATGTGAAGCAGTGTTGTGAGGTCAGGGCATGTAGACTGCCATGGTAGATGTGTTGTGAGGTCAGGTCAGGGCATGTAGACTGCCATGGTAGATGTGTTGTGAGGTCAGGTCAGGGCATGTAGACTGCCATGATAGATGTGTTGTGAGGTCAGGTCAGGGCATGTAGACTGCCATGGTAGATGTGTTGTCAGGTCAGGGCATGTAGACTACCATGGTAGATGTGTTGTGAGGTCAGGTCATGTAGACTGCCATGGTAGATGTGTTGTGAGGTCAGGTCATGTAGACTGCCATGGTAGATGTGAAGCAGTGTTGTGAGGTCAGGTCATGTAGACTGCCATGGTAGATGTGTTGTGAGGTCAGGTCATGTAGACTGCCATGGTAGATGTGAAGCAGTGTTGTGAGGTCAGGTCATGTAGACTGCCATGGTAGATGTGTTGTGAGGTCAGGTCATGTAGACTGCCATGGTAGATGTGTTGTGAGGTCAGGTCATGTAGACTGCCATGGTAGATGTGTTGTGAGGTCAGGTCATGTAGACTGCCATGGTAGATGTGTTGTGAGGTCAGGTCATGTAGACTGCCATGGTAGATGTGAAGCAGTGTTGTGAGGTCAGGTCATGTAGACTGCCATGGTAGATGTGTTGTGAGGTCAGGTCATGTAGACTGCCATGGTAGATGTGTTGTGAGGTCAGGTCATGTAGACTGCCATGGTAGATGTGTTGTGAGGTCAGGGCATGTAGACTGCCATGGTAGATGTGTTGTGAGGTCAGGTCATGTAGACTGCCATGGTAGATGTGTGTTGTGAGGTCAGGTCATGTAGACTGCCATGGTAGATGTGTTGTGAGGTCAGGTCATGTAGACTGCCATGGTAGATGTGTTGTGAGGTCAGGGCATGTAGACTGCCATGGTACATGTGAAGCAGTGTTGTGAGGTCAGGGCATGTAGACTGCCATGGTAGATGTGTTGTGAGGTCAGGTCATGTAGACTGCCATGGTAGATGTGTTGTGAGGTCAGGGCATGTAGACTGCTATGGTAGATGTGTTGTGAGGTCAGGTCATGTAGACTGCCATGGTAGATGTGTTGTGAGGTCAGGGCATGTAGACTGCCATGGTAGATGTGTTCAGGGCATGTAGACTGCCATGGTAGATGTGAAGCAGTGTTGTGAGGTCAGGTCATGTAGACTGCCATGGTAGATGTGTGTTGTGAGGTCAGGTCATGTAGACTGCCATGGTAGATGTGTTGTGAGGTCAGGTCATGTAGACTGCCATGGTAGATGTGTTGTGAGGTCAGGTCATGTAGACTGCCATGGTAGATGTGTTGTGAGGTCAGGGCATGTAGACTGCCATGGTAGATGTGTGTCATGTAGACTGCCATGGATGTGTTGTGAGGTCAGGTCATGTAGACTGCCATGGTAGATGTGTTGTGAGGTCAGGGCATGTAGACTGCCATGGTAGGTAGTTGTGGGGTCAGGGCATGTAGACTGATGGTCAGTGAAGCATGTTGTGAGGAGGGCATGTGCCATGGTAGATGTGAAGCAGTGTTGTTAGGTCAGGTCATGTAGACTGCCATGGTAGATGTGTTGTGAGGTCAGGTCATGTAGACTGCCATGGTAGATGTGTTGTGAGGTCAGGGCATGTAGACTGCCATGGTACATGTGGTGTTGAGGTCAGGTCATGTAGACTGCCATGGTAGATGTGAAGCAGTGTATATAGGTCAGGTCATCAGACTGCCATGGTAGATGTGTTGTGAGGTCAGGGCATGTAGACTGCCATGGTACTTGTGAAGCAGTGTTGTGAGGTCAGGGCATGTAGACTGCCATGGTAGATGTGAAGCAGTGTTGTGAGGTCAGGGCATGTAGACTGCCATGGTAGATGTGAAGCAGTGTTGTGAGGTCAGGGCATGTAGACTGCCATGGTAGATGTGAAGCAGTGTTGTGAGGTCAGGGCATGTAGACTGCCATGGTAGATGTGAAGCAGTGTTGTGAGGTCAGGGCATGTAGACTGCCATGGTAGATGTGAAGCAGTGTTGTGTGCTGTAATTTTTATGCCAGACAGTTTTTCGTATTTTTTATCACTTGTCAGGCCAACTGATTGGTTAGATTGTGCGAAGAACTTTCTTGGAGTGATGATGAGTCTCCAGATTTACAGTCAGCTTTAACTACAGAAGGACAGAATTCAGTAGGTCCGTTGTTATATATGCTTCAACTACAGAAGGATAGAATTCAGTAGGTCCACTGTTATATATGCTTCAACTACAGGACAGAATTCAGTAGGTCCGTTGTTATATATGCTTCAACTACAGAAGGACAGAATTCAGTAGGTCCGTTGTTATATATGCTTCAACTACAGAAGGATAGAATTCAGTAGGTCCACTGTTATATATGCTTCAACTACAGAAGGACAGAATTCAGTAGGTCCACTGTTATATATGCTTCAACTACAGGACAGAATTCAGTAGGTCCGTTGTTATATATGCTTCAACTACAGAAGGATAGAATTCAGTAGGTCCACTGTTATATATGCTTCAACTACAAGGTCCGCTGTTATATATGCTTCAACTACAGAAGGACAGAATTCAGTAGGTCCGCTGTTATATATGCTTCAACTACAGAAGGACAGAATTCAGTAGGTCCGCTGTTATATTTGCTTCAACTACAGAAGGACAGAATTCAGTAAGTCCACTGTTATATATGCTTCAACTACAGAAGGACAGAATTCAGTAGGTCCGTTGTTATATATGAAAACAATTAATTTCCAAGGGTCCCCAGATTTGTGTTCAGTTGGAACGTCTTCTTCTTTATGATCGAGTGAGGAAGAGATACACGTTTTTTTGTTTTTTTTTTTTTATTTTCACATTTTTATTTCCCAGTACATGTTTACATGACATTATAATTATGAGTAGATATTCACATATACAAGACATACATAAATAGGTAGTATTTCCAGGCTTGGTATAGGGCTTTAGAGATACATGTTGATCAATGTTTACAGTAGTAGAGAACCAGAATCTCACTCTTATAATCACTCGTGTTGTGTGAATTTCACATCATGTGGGTGAGTGTAAAATTTTCAGTCAGTTTTTTCTTTCAGTTTGGTTAAGTGAATGCCAAATTGTGATGTTGAAAACCATCTCTATCCATTACCACGTCCAGCTATTTATGGACATGATGAAAGCACTAACATTCTTAACGGATATCCATACACTTACAAGTAAACCGAAGTGGTTGATATTTAATGTTAATGTTTATGTTGCAGAGCGTGTTGGTGAACCTACTGAAGCCCACGTCAGAGAAGATTGAAGCAATTGTGGTGAGTAGTCAAAGGGGGATAACTCTGTCAACCCTTTCTTCCCAAGAACAGGGCTGGAGCCAGAGTGATGTGTGCGGCGGCTGTAGGCTGTCGGTCCCTCATACCTAGTTAACCTGTAGGAATTAGCTCTGTTGTGCAGCACTTTAAGGATTAAATCAGAAACCACTTAAGGCAGACTAAGTGTTGTCAAGCTCCCAAATAAACAATTTCCGAGGTGAATTATCACAAATCTTACAAATCAGTTTCTGTTCAAGTTTGCCTGTCTTTTCCTTTCTGTCGGTTCTCAACTTTCAAAAGCTGTCTGGACATGGAACAGCATTTGTGACCCATTTCAAACAACTGAACGCTATAGTTATTCTCCAAAGTAGGCCTTCACAGTTTTAATGGCTTGACTGTCAGGGTTAGTGACATTATCTGTCTCAGATCTCTGATTAGACTGCCTGAGATAGTCTTTATAGTTGAAAGGAAATGAACTTTGCTCAGCCGACAAGTTCACTGAAATACAGGAATTTTTCATGATTCTGTTATCAAGTGGGAATCTCTTTATTTTATTGCAGAGGAAAATATTGGATTGATTGACAGATAAGCATTTACTACATATGTTGCATAGATTCATAGATAAGCGTTTATGCAGTGAAGGTGTACATCATCAGATAAGACTTAAATTAGTAGCCCTTGGTGAATGGAATGGTGCTTCCAGGTTTTGCATGAATTGACTGCTGCACCTTCTTGGGCATCTCTAGGGAATCTCATTTGGCATATCTCTTTTATAACTCTGGTAATTGTTGTTGACATACTGATGTATCATGTCAAGTGTCTGGCCATCTTTAAGGTCATCGCCTGAAGATACTAAAACTAAAATTGAAACATTTACTGTAGGTCAGTAAAATTTGATGCATGTCTTCTTAAAGGTGGAGGGACGGTGGGGTAGCCCAGTGGTTAAAGTGTTCACTCATCAGGTTTGATTCTTCACATGGGTGACCGCCTCCGTGGTGTAGTGGTTAGAGCATCCGCCCAGAGAGCGGAAGGTCGCAGGTTCGATCCCCAGCCGCGTCATACCAAAAGATGTTAAACTATGGTATTTGTTGGCCCCTGCCTGGCGTTCGGCATTAATGGGTACAACAAGGACTGGTCGACTCGGAGTCAGTATAATGTGTCTGAGTGAGGTATTCATGCTTCACTGCGGCATGGTATCTCAGTGGGATAGCACTATAAAACCAGCTTTAGTCTGGGCTAGTACAAGCAGCCGCACCTACACATACACACGCATGCACGTCGTCATATGAGCGAAATATTCTCAAGCACGACGTTAAACCCAATTTCACCTCACCTCACCTCCTCACATGGGTACATTGTGTTAAGCCCATATCTGGTGTCCTCTGCTGCGATATTTCTGGAATATTGCTTACAAAGCAGCGTAAAACCCAACTCACTCCAAAAGATAGATGTGAGATTGGAGGTCATAACTTACCTGTGTTTAGGTTCAATGTCATAATTCAGATATTTTATAGATTATGTTGCATTTTTAATAAGCAGCCCATTTCTTCAAATATTTAGTTTTATGCATGTGGTAATTTTGTTCAAATACTGTGTAACTTGTGATGACAGGACACTGTGACCCATGTTCATTGAGGACCATGTGCCTTGTCATTACACTGTGGGTCATTACACAGAGGGACATCATTGTTTCTATACCAAATAGACCTTGGGAATTGGCTTGAAACACTTGACATGCAGTATGTTCAGAGGGACATCATTGTTTCTATACCAAATAGACCTTGGGAATTGGCTTGAAACACTTGACATGCAGTATGTTCAGAGGGACATCATTGTTTCTATACCAAATAGACCTTGGGAATTGGCTTGAAACACTTGACATGCAGTATGTTCAGAAAGTGTTCATTGTATTGGGATGAGTTTGGTGCATATCATCATGAGGCTTGGGTATTGGAGGGCATATCATCATGAGGCTTGGGTATTGAGGGTAAGGATTTGAGGGAACTTCATTGAAGTTAAGAGTAGTTTGTCTTCTTTGTGTGCTGAACGCCTTGATAACAAACTTGGTCAATAAATATTGGAAATTAGAGATTAAACAGCAACAGGCATGATGATGTACCTTTTAAATTGTATTTCATGTTCTGTTAGTATTGTTTTGTTTGCAGGGAATACTCTCTGTATTTTCTGGAAGTAAGCTGGAAATAGCTATCAGCTGTACACACGTTTCTTCCCTATCTACTCTCGATTCAGTTGAACAAGGGTTTTAATGTGATTGTCAGAAACAATAATTTCATCAGGAGTAATTTAGTCCAGATTCATGTTATTTTAATTGCATCTTTGACTGTACTTATTTAAGATAATGATTACCATAAGATAGCACTTTTTGCTGTTGATGAATTATTTTACTTATAGAACAATTTGACCTGTCACCGGCAAGACTCCTGTAGTCATGATAGGGGTGAAAACATTATGTTGACATATAATAGTCAATCAACCACAAATAGAACTTTTTAAAGTCAAAGTATGACAACCGGTACATGTTCATCTATTTCCTATCAAATGAAGTTTGATTTTAATGCATCAGTAGGATTAATCTGAGTGTAGTTGCTTATAAATAAGTTTGGGTTGATACGATCTGCTGATCACTTAACACACTTTCGCTGAAATTAATCTAAACAATAAGGATCAAATTTTGAATAAGATTCATTAAATAGATTACTAATTTAAGTCCAGATACAGTGCATACTATGTTTGTGCAACAACAGGGCCAAATTGCCTAACTTAGCATCTCTGGTGTTACCTGTTCATACCGCTGCCTCTCTGTTTAGATAAAACAAGACAAAGCAAACTCATAATGGCATGTTTTATGTTCATCCCAACCTTCTCAGATTTGCTCTTTTTTAAAAAAAAATATCCACACTGTACTCAGTATATATGCTGTGGATCCACACAGTCCCATATTCTTCTGTTGAAGACATTAAACACCAAAATAACCCATCTTAGCATTTTGCTAAAAAAACATTTGAATAACAGTTTTGTCTTGATATACTTTCAACCATTGTTGCAATAATTTGAAAAGATTTGAAGTGAATTCCATTAAAAGTACCTTAACTCAACTGGTAACACATTTTCCTGTCAGTTTGAAATTCCAGACAATTATTCACAACTATCATTGTTTTATTATTGTAAGCCTTCTGACAGTTTCACTGAATCTCGGTTACAATTTACAGCAACCCACAAAAGAAACTGAATGCTGTGGGTTGTTTCTCAAAGGGAAGAACAAACAACAGAATCGAAATATGGCGTATTTATATCCTTCTTTCAGTGTTTTATTTCGTAATAAACATCAACAACTTACCAATTTAGATCTTAAGAAATCCCCTGATTAAATAAACTCCAATTATTGTGTCAGTTTGTACGAAGTTCAACCCCATCCCCCACCTACTGAAACCGATCTCCCCTGACAGGAACTGCTTCAGGTTTATATTGACTGTAATAATTAACAACAGACCCCTGGTGTTGGGAAGGTGTTAAATAGGTGTTACACATACAGGCAGGTTGACAGAATGCCAACCATTACAGAGGTGGTGTAAGTTTGAAATGTCAAGCCGTGTACAGGTTCGTCTTCTCACAAAGTTGAATACAACTCCCTGAATGCCTGGTTGGGTCTCTGTTGGAGGGTTTACACTTCAAAGTTGCAGTAATGTAACAGTAAATTACACATATTTTGACAGACTGATAAGAAAATTGTGACCTTCTGCCTAACAATGATATAGTAATATATATTGTTGATTGTCGGTGCAGACTTGCCTTGTTTTGTTCTGCTGGAGTCTGTCAGTGTTATCTTTGTGGAAGATACATCAACTTGAAGCCCTTGTATGTTCCCAGCTTTGAAGGTTATTTATATTTAAAACAATGAGTTCCACATTTTCAGTTGAGTGTAAAATGATTTTTATTGGTTTTTATGTTGTTAGTTTGAAAGATATGCCCAGCTGAAATAGCTAATGGATTCAACCTTAGAGGAGGATGCTCTTTGTAGCTCTTTTGCATCATACTTACCCATGCACTCACAAACACACTCACCCACTCACTTATCAACACGCTCATCCACTCACTCACTCACTCACTCACCTACTCACTCACCCACACACTCACCCACACACTCACTCACCCACACACTTATCCACTCACTGACTCACTCACTCCATGGTTTCAGTAATGTTCCAGAAATTTTCTTGAGAAACTATACACCCAAGCATAATACACAGTCCTCTCTAGGGGATCCAGTATTTTAGGTAGAAAAAATAATTGGAGTATTATGTTTCAACACTCACAGAAGTTGACTTAAGGTTCTTTCATCATGTAATATCAAGCTTAAAAGATATTGTCTTGTATGGCCCTTCTGAAATATACGTTTATAATGTCTTGTTCCTGTCAGGCTCTTCTAGTATCTTATATTGATGATCATGTTACACACCTAACGGTGTGGGTCTGATGTATGAAGCCCATTTGTGGTGTCTCCCATTGCTGGAATATTGCTAGAAGCGGCATAAAACCAAACTCATAAAACCAAACTCACTCACTCACTCACTCACTCACTCACTCACTCACTCACTCACTCACTCACCCACCCACCTAAGTGTGACTCCATACACAAGGAGTGTCTTTGTGTCATGTATTACTGTCCCTCCCCTCACCCATCACCTCTTCTCGCCATCTTCTTAATTATCTTTAATTATGTTGTATATTACTCATTTATTTCCTTGTCTATTCCAGGGATTCCGTGAGAAGAACCGAACCAGCCCTTTCTTCAACCACTTGTCCACAGTCAGCGAGTCTGTTTCTGCATTGGGATGGGTGTCTGTGGTGAGTGTCCTTATTTTGTTGCCATTCCCAACTCCCTCTAAACAAAGATTTAGCTAAGAAACTGATCTACAAGATGTGAAGTTTATTTTATTTCAGAAGAAAATTATTATGCAAACGTGAATTTGTGCATACATAAATATATCATGAAGTAATATGTTAAGCCCATCTCTGGGGTTTCCCGCCATGATATTCCTGGAATATTGCCAAAAGCGGCGTAAAACCCAACTCGCTCACTGTACTTCTTCACTGAGAGGGGCAGTGGGGTAGTCTAGTGGTTAAGCGTTTGCTCGTCATGCCGAGAACCCGGGTTTGATTCCCCAAATAGGTACAATGTGTGAAACCCATTTTTGGTGTCCCCCGCCTTGATTTTGCTGGAATATTGCTAAAAGCGGCGTAAAACTAAACTCACTCACTGTACTCCTTAGGGGCAGTGGGGTAGCCAAGTGGTTAAAGCATTCGCTCGTCACGCCGAAGACCCGGGTTTGATTCCCCACATGGGTACAATATGTGAAGCCCATTTCTGGTGTCCCCTGCCGTGATATTGCTGGAATATTGCTAAAAGCGGCGTAAAACTAAACTCACTCACCCACTCCTTAACTGAGATGATGATTTTTTTGGTCGCAGTATTAATGGAAACAGACATGGTAGAGATGGTTTTCAACATGACAATTTGGCATTCACTTACCCAAACTGAAAGGAGACTGTTCATATTATCAGCCACTTATTTGACTTGCCCAAGCTTGAATATTTTCAGGTAACTGAAACTAAGTTAAGTGTGAATTTTGCTGTCAGTTTTTCAAGAAATGCAAATTGTATTATGTTTGTGTTTCAGTCACCGGCCCCAGGGCCCTTCGTCAAGGAGATGTCCGATGCTGGAATGTTCTTTGGGAACAGGGTGCTGAAGGAGTTCAAGGAGAAGTGAGTACTACCCTTTATCAGAAACCTGTGCTTGGTGGTTTGTAGAGCGGATGCTTGTATAATCTGAATTTTCTGGGATCACTTGAGGTTTTTCTGTAAACTCATGGTAAAAATAATTATTCCCTCATCATACCAAGGGACCAGTGTTGTAGTTTTGACAGTTTTACTATTTTCATGCCCTGATTCATGACAGTAATATTTTATTTCATAAACAAGACCTCAATGTTTTTGTTGATTCCTGTGAAAATAAGATATTTGTCACAGCCAACTTTTAGCATGATCCAAGTTGCCTTGGCTGTATTGGTAATTGTTTCCCTTGGTGTTGTAGGGATCCACAGCATGCTGATTGGATAAAGTCATGGAACATGACTCTGTCTGAGCTACAGGCTTACATCAAGCAGTTCCACACCACAGGCACAGCCTGGAACCCACGGGTCAGTCGTCCTTCATGTACCTCTTGATATCTAGTCTTAGACAAGCCTGAACTCTGTATTAGCAGTATCTAGTAACCAGCTGATCAGACCTTGTACTACAGCAGTATCTAGCAACCAGCTGTTCAGATCTTGTGCTGTAGCAGTATCTAGCATCTAGCTATTCAGACCTTGTACTACAGCAGTGTCTAGCAACCAGCTGTTCAGATCTTGTGCTGCAGCAGTATCTAGCAACCAGCTGATCAGACCTTGTACTACAGCAGTATCTAGCAACCAGCTGATCAGACCTTGTACCACAGCAGTATCTAGCAACCAGCTGTTCAGATCTTGTGCTGTAGCAGTATCTAGCATCTAGCTGTTCAGACCATGTACTACAGCAGTATCTAGCAACCAGCTGATCAGATCTTGTGCAGAGCTGCAGCAGTATCTAGCAACCAGCTGACCTTGTACCACAGCAGTATCTAGCTAGATCAGACCTTGTACTACAGCAGTATCTAGCAACCAGCTGTTCAGATCTTGTGCTGCAGCAGTATCTAGCATCTAGCTGTTCAGACCATGTACTACAGCAGTATCTAGCAACCAGCTGATCAGATCTTGTGCTGCAGCAGTATCTAGCAACCAGCTGATCAGACCTTGTACCACAGCAGTATCTAGCAACCAGCTGATCAGACCTTGTACCACAGCAGTATCTAGCAACCAGCTGATCAGACCTTGTACTACAGCAGTATCTAGCAACCAGCTGATCAGACCTTGTACAACAGCAGTATCTAGCAACCAGCTGATCAGACCTTGTACAACAGCAGTATCTAGCAACCAGCTGATCAGACCTTGTACCACAGCAGTATCTAGCAACCAGCTGATCAGACCTTGTACAACAGCAGTATCTAACCAGCAGAACCAGCTGTATCAGACCTTGTACTACAGCAGTATCTAGCAACCAGCTGATCAGACCTTGTACCACAGCAGTATCTAGCAACCAGCTGATCAGACTTTGTACTACAGCAGTATCTAGTAACCAACCAGACCTTGTACCACAGCAGTATCTAGCAACCAGCTGACCTACCACAGCGGTATCTAGCAACCAGCTGATCAGACTTTGTACTACAGCAGTATCTAGCAACCAGCTGATCAGACCTTGTACTACAGCAGTATCTAGCAACCAGCTGATCAGACCTTGTACAGCAGCAGTATCAGCAACAGCAGTATCTAGCACTACAGCTGTATCAGACCAGCTGATCAGACCTTGTACTACAGCAGTATCTAGCAACCAGCTGATCAGACCTTGTACTACAGCAGTATCTAGCAACCAGCTGATCAGACCTTGTACTACAGCAGTATCTAGCAACCAGCTGATCAGACCTTGTACTACAGCAGTATCTAGCAACCAGCTGATCAGACCTTTGTACAACAGCAGTATCTAGCAACCAGCTGATCAGACCTTGTACTACAGCAACCAGCTGATCAGTGATCAGACCTTGTACTGTATCTAGCAACCAGCTGATCAGAGCAGCAGTATCTAGCAACCAGCTGATCAGACCTTGTACTACAGCAGTATCTAGCAACCAGCTGATCAGACCTTGTACTACAGCAGTATCTAGCAACCAGCAACCAGCTGATCAGACCTTGTACCACAGCAGTATCTAGCAACCAGCTGATCAGACCTTGTGTACACTTCAGCAGCTGATCTACCACAGCGGTATCGCAGCAACCAGCTGATCAGACCTTGTACCACAGCAGTATCTAGCAACCAGCTGATCAGACCTTGTACTACAGCAGTATCTAGCAACCAGCTGATCAGACCTTGTACTACAGCAGTATCTAGCAACCAGCTGATCAGACCTTGTACTACAGCAGTATCTAGCAACCAGCTGATCAGACCTTGTACTACAGCAGTATCTAGCAACCAGCTGATCAGACCTTGTTTTTATTTTAATAAGTAAACTGTTATTCAGTGTTTGTACTGCAGCAATATCCAGTAAAAGTCACAAGAAATTACAGATTTATAAACATAATTTGACATCTGACACCTTGAATGATTCTATTCTGGAGCAATGTTTAGGTCTAGATAGTTGATGCCACGTCTAAGCACCAATCCTTTAAAGACTGTTTGAATGTCACATGCATTTTAACCCTTATTGGCGATATGGAGACTATATATAGCAGAGAGCGTTCTATCTGACAGGCTGTCTGTCCAAGATAGACATTAAAGTATCAGGAATAAATGCAACACTTTCAAATACATCACACAAGATGGATGTTTAATATGTGAATGGCAGAAATGTTTGGCTTCTGCCCAACTTGTAAATTTTGCTAAAAGCTTTATCTTCCATGTGTACTTATATTGTAATTTGGCAGCCGTTAAATGTCAAGTATTGCAGCTTCTAGCTAGGCCAGTTCTGGTTAGAATGAGATGTGACAATGTACAAGCGATTCCACCTGTGGGGCTAATGTTGCTTAGATGTCAGTTCCTGTAACACCTGTCAGTTACTGTCCTCGATGCTGCTTTAAGTGCCGTCCTGTTTAGACCTATGGTAGTCCATGAGTGACATTGGTCTGATCATGGTTGATGTCAACTCTTGAAATCCTGTGGAAGTGACTGCACATAGTTCAGCCAGCTCCTTGGTCCACACACAAACACCTTTTTCACTCATTCACACATTCATTCATCATCTCATAAATCCATTGAAAAGTGCGTTTACTTCATTTGGGGCGGTGGGGTAGCCTAGTGGTTAAAGCATTGGCTCGTCATGCCGAAGACCCGGGTTCGATTCCCCACATGGGCACAATGTGTGAAGCCCATTTCTGGTGTCCCCCCCGTGATATTGCTGGAATATTGCTAAAAGCAGCGTAAAACTAAACTCAATCAGTCAGTCAGTTTACTTCATAATGCAATATTGCCAAACAAAGAAGTTGACACATACCCAAATTGCGTAGATCGATGTTCATGCTGTTGATCACTGGCTTGTTTGGTCCAGACTTGATTATTTCACATTCACACTCTACTCAAACCTATCCTAAACACACACACACGCATGCATGCACGCACACAGCATACACCCTTATCTCTATCATGATGCTGAAGCTGCTGCTGCTGCTGCCAAGGCTAATTGCCAAGCAACACTGAATCCCTTCACTCTCGCACAAACTCTGTCATTTCGTATAATAATGAGAGTCTTGATTTTGAGTGAGTGAATTGTGTGTCATTTCCTTCAAGAACACGTCCGCACCACAATGTCTGTTTGAGATAATGCCAGCCCACCTGAAGTGCAGGTCTGACAAAGTGTTCCTTCTGTCACAGGATCAGAGACAGGGGTGCCACAACATCGTTTCATCACAGAACAGACTTTGTACTCAAACAATTCTACAAGGCATGCCACTCTTTTTTCTTCATTACACTTGAACCCCTGTGCAAAAGGTTAACAAGATTCTAGTTTGAGATAAACTTCTGTTTTTTCCATGAGAGCACTTTCCATATTCTTTATTTTCTGTTCTAACCCATAGTCAGAATCCCGCAATCTAGCACATACACACAACATGTGTTGCCCATGTTATTTACACGGGAGGTTAATACATGTCATGGAAGTTTCTTTAAGCTTTTATTTCTGGTCCTTTGATGAGCTACATATAATATGTCTTGTGATCCATCATTAATGGAAGTAATAAAGAAGCATGTAGGCGTTTCTCGCATGCCTATATTATAAGGAGGTTAGCACCAAAACCTAGTCCACGGCATGAGCTTTGATGCGGTAAGCAAACACATATGGTCAAACAAGATGTGCTCTAATCTCCAATAATAAACATCAATGTGAAGACTACTTCCGAAAATCTGATGGAAATGCCTTAAAAAAATAGCACATTAATAACACAGATTTATAGGAGTGCTGTATAGCCTAGGGATTAGTGTGACAGCTAGGCTGGGGGGTGGTTGACCCTGCCTGTGTGTATGTGAGAGATGTATACCCTGGGGATCAGTGTGACAGCTAGGCTGGGGGTGGTTGATCCTGCCTGTGTGTATGTGAGAGATGTTGGGGTTAAAGTATAGCCTACAACTGCTGTTTGAGATCAGGTTTTGCATTTTGACACAAGTTGGGTGATGGATTATCCAATAATTAGCATTGTGTGTGCTACTGTTCTACACATCTCTAGTTCAGTAGGGCAAACAGAAGATATAGGCAACTATCTATATGAGCTGTTTTGGAGACGTGTCAGCAGCTAATGAAAATGTGGGTGTTTTGACGAGTATATTTTTTTATCATTGTCATCTGTTTTGATCTAGTTAACGTCCATGTATACATGCACATCATACGTACACACTAAGACCTTGATGGTCCTAATATTTAGAAAACCATCTTTCACGAAAAGATAGCTTAATGTAATTTTGAATAGCAAAAACATCACTTGAAACACTCCTGATTTTTTCAACATAAAAGTTACGACATTAATGTCATATGATAATCAGATTTCTGTTTATGTTTTATTTAAATTCAGCGTTAAAATTGATCTCTTTCTTACAAGATGTGAGTATAAATATATAAAACTTAAGGGCCAGAAAAGTGTCCCATCAGGATGAAGTAAATCTGAATGAGTTTTATGGCCTTTTAATGTTACATCGCTGAAAGGGGAAGGGGGCAGTGACTTAATGTACTGACTCAAGGCATTGACTGGATGCATGATAGCATGTCATTAATAAAAGCAGCATGGCCTAACTTTGCCACTTGATGACACCTTAGTCCCCTCAAGTTCGCAGTATACATACTTGCCACGATGTACCCAAGACATTGTTGATGTTTGGGCACTGGGTCCTTGATAATCATCCATGCATTTACTGAAGCAATCAAAATAGTGAATTCTTTTTATGTGTCTTCCACTCAAGGGAATAAGTTATATCCTAGCACCTGGGTAACCTGATGAAAACAAGGTTTTCTATGCAACCTCTAGGTTATTGGTTGACATATCATCATGAAGTACCCCCTGTGTAATAACGAGCTTTGACGAGTATGATG